GGTTTCGGGTTTAGGGTTTAGGGTTTGGGGTTTGGGTTTGGAGGGCCCCCTGCTAAGGAATCTCCCACTTCAAGAATTTGCCAAGGCCCTCACGGAAGCGATGTTCACGACCGTACGCACCCACCTGGCAACAAGTGATACATCAAATCCTCGTGGGAGCTGAATGCTCCCGTCATTCTGCAACTCCATGCTTGCAGTTTCAGGAGTACTTAGTAGGTAGGTTAAAAACCCCGATAACCCAAATAATAACCCTAGTTATCCCGTTATCCCCAGTATTAACCGACTTATCAAGTCCCCTACATCCTGAACCCTAAACCCTACCTACTTGTTAAGACCCCCTCACCCTCCAAGTGGTCTGTTGACAGTGAGCGTGATTCTGCATGACCTACCTCCTAAATCTCGTAATCCTCCCCCCTAATATTAACCCCGCCCACCCCCTAATATGAAATTCTCCCAATACTCTATAATATACCACACTGGGGAGTCCCTTATCCTAGTATTAATTACGCCCAATACGTTAAATCATACCACATAATGGGAGTTTTTAATATTAGGGGGGTTGGGGGGTGTTTAGTAGACTAACCCTAAACCCAAAACCTTGAACCCTAAACACTCAACCCTAAACCCTAAACCCTTAAGCACCTCAGGTTCAAGGGACGGCCGCAGCTGGTGATCAAAGAAATCCCAGTCGTGGTCGTAGCGATCCAAGTAGATGTATCTGCCGTCCTCACGCGGTTTAGGGTTTAGGGTTTAGGGTTTAGGGTTAGGGTTTAGGGTTTAGGGTTTAGGGTTTAGGGTACGGATCAGGGTGGAGATGTTGTGAGCACGCAGGGGACAGCTTCTATGCTACATGCCCGCTAGGGCTCAAGTCCCGTCTTTCAGGTTTCTGAGTTGCTGTTCGAGATCATCCACACACTACATAAACCCTAAACCCTAAACCCCTAAACTCTAAACCGCCTTAGAAGTTTGTGAACACGAGAGAATGGTGGCAAGGTGAAGCTCACCCAAGCCCATTACTTGCAGGGTCAGGGGGGCTTCAGAAGTAGTTTAGTAGATGGAAAAGGATATGGAAGCTACTGTAGTGCTTAGGGTTCAGGGTTCAGGGTCAGGGGGACTTCATAAGTAGGTTAATAACAAGGATAACTGAGGTTACGATCTGGATTACCTACTTATGAAGTCGCCTTGACCCTCCTAGTCTGCTGCGCATGTTACAAACGGATAGAGACACGGAAGCAACAGTGCCTCAAACCCTTACATATTGAATCCGTGCGCTCAAAGAGAGCCTAAGATGACCTGCCACCACCGCCAGTTTCTTGCTGCGAGACTAGAACGGCTATCACCCAACTGAACGAAATCCAAGTATTGTCAAACCCAGACCCCCCAAAGGATCTAAGAATTAGATCCCCTAGAACCATGGGGGAAATTATATGAGGATTATATAGGGGTTATTGGGTCTATATAGGGGATCTAATTTTTAGATCCTCCTGGGGGTCTGGGAACCCTAAACCCTTCTCTCCTCGCCCTGGACACTGAGGCCGCAGCAAGACTGACTCCACTGACACAGCAGAGGACCAAATCCCCCAACTGCACCTCCTCCATGAGAGGCTTTAGGGCTTAAAGGGTTTATATAGGGTTGATTAGGGCTTGTATAGGGAGATATACGAGGGTCATACAGGGAGTGTATGGGGGTTACATTGGGTTTTATGCAAGGTTTGGCGTTTAGCTTGGGGTGTAGGGAGTGTAGGGGGTTGGGGTTCTCGGAATTGAGTAGGGATAGCAGCTGGCCCTTGGTATGAAGGAGGTTTGGGTTTAGGGCTAAGTTAATGGAAGTCTGAGTTTGAAAGCAACATATCTTGATCTGAGTCAACTACAAACAAAAGTCAAGCACAGTTGTGTAGAACATTCTATCTGGGGTAGTAGAACGATGCACGTAGTAGCTGCAGCTCCTTTCCCACTGAGCAGCTGTTGCCTGCTTTGCTCTCACATGTCGATGGATACCAGTTGCGAGATCACGGCGTGCTTCTTCTACGGGTATTTGGCATTATAGTAGATAGTATTTGTGGACTTCACGGCCCAAAGCAGACATCATTTGTAGATTTGGATTGGGATAGGGTGGGCACCACGATCCTTCCACCATCCGTTTGTTCCCGTCGCGCTCTTTGGACCCTGTGCTTCGGCTGGCTTCAAGATAGGGGGGGGTTCCCAAAATTAAGGGTGCCATTTTGGGGGTCCCCATAACAAGGGTTATAAGATTTGGCGGTCTATATTGGGGTCCCCCAAAAATCCGTGGGAGCTTGGCGTGTTCGGGTCTGCGTGGTGCTAAAGAAGACTTGGTTTAATGACATCAATCTACTGACAAACCAAGGTTTGGCTTAGACCATTAACCCTGAACCCTAAACCTCAGAGCCTAAAATCTAAACCCTAAACCTCAGAGCCCAAACCCTTGTCCTTGAAGCGCCGCAGAGCTCCTGGTGTGGAGACCATGCCAACGCGCCCCGCATTCAGCTTCATCAGGAGCTTGCTGGCAGTGAGCGCGAAGGTGCATTTGGGTAGTTCTTGGAAATAGCAGGCCCCCAAGAAACCCTGCAGATACAAACGGATTATTGGGTGGTCCCTGTAGGGATTCTATAGGACAGTTTGGAGAAACTTTCACACTCTGCTTTGCGCAAGGAATAGATGACGTGAAAGCAAGGTTTGCATCTTAGCCCGCAATGTGGCGCTGTTAAAACGGTTCTGTCACGTACTCACGTTGCACAGACATGTCACCAGCAGTCTTCAGGATGCTCCAGACTGAAAACTACAATAGTGGGTTATATAGGATTGAGGGTTTAAGTTGCGCGGTTTGCGAGACCCTTTTTGCAAGATGGGCTCTTGCAAGTTCCCTCAAACAGCCCGCAACACTCCGCGGTTCGCGCGGCAACCAGCGCCCATAGTCGGGTTCCGATCTTGGCCTGCAACCGCCATGTTGAGCTGCAACAAAAAAGAGCGCGGAGCAAGCTTCTGAGGATGGCCCGACATGCAAGGGGTAGAGCAAGTACTTGGAGGGTCAGGGGGATTTAATAAGTAGGCTACTAATGGGGATAACTAGAGTTACTATATGGATTAGGAGTTATAAGTATACTTACTCAGTCTCCCTGACCGCCCAAGTAGCATATTACTCCAATCGAAGAAGGGGCCTTCCATGCCAAACATGCGGTGGTTCTCACAGGCAAAAAGAGCTCCTTCCATCACATGACCGTCCTCTGATGGTGGACTCGGGTTACGACTGCAAAAGGTTCCTGAACGGAATCATGCCCTAACCAACCCATCGCTGCAAGCCATCATCACACTTCGGGCCCTCGTGTAAAAAAGGCCTCAACTGAAGAAATTGGAAAAGACTCCGGCATGGAAAGCCTTAGGCCTAGAATCCAAGCCCCACAAGCTCTTTGCAGCCGAGCTGCCATACTTTGGGCCGTGGGAAAATCTGAGTTTAAGAAGCGATAGTTGGCAGCGCGCTTCGAGGCTTGGGCAAACTCCTCCCAGGGGGTCAGAGTCCTTGAAGCTCTTCTCAGAAGCAGGCTAAAGCGTGCTAGGATGCTATAAGCTTTATTCTTGAGAAAGCACAGCATGCCAGTGCTCAGCCCCCCCCTTGAACTCCTCAGCTGCTGCGGTTGTTGTAGCGGCCTTGCTAGCTTGCCCTGCTTGCAAGAGCCGCTGATGAAGCGGAAGCAGGTGGCTGACTGAATGGAGGGCATAGCGCACGAGGTCTTTGGCCATGGGGCGCCGAGCCCAAAGCTCTGGGTCCTGCAGCATCCGCGACTTCAACTCTGTCTGCTCAGGCTCAATGCCCAAGTAATCCTTGAGCAGCTCCGCTGCAGAGGCCTGGTACGCCTCCCGTCCCGCCCTCCGCTCTAACGTGGCATGCGCCACCTGCGTGTCGAACACGGTGCGCAGTTGAATGCCATGCTGGTGAAAAAGCGCTGCACTGTCCTCGCGGCAGTCATGGATTACCTTGACAATGCGCCTGCTCTCAAGAAGTGGTGCTAGAGCTTCCACCACGCCAGCACGCAGAGCATCACACAGAAGCACACGGCCGTCAGAATCCTGCAGCTGCAAGAGGCAAACACGCCCAAACCGCCCCAGCCGAACTCCTTCACAATCCAGGGCCACGGCAGGACTTCGCCAGTCCCGGACCACCTGCAACTCTGCTTCCTCAGTCTCTTCCTCTGCAGTTCTGCAGACTAACTCGGAGCAAGCCTGTTTTGCCTGTGTCTCATTGAGAATGAAATGCACCCTCTGGGAGAAGCCTCGCACGCAGCGTGGGGGTTTGATGACCAGATGGGGGCGCGCTGGCCAGCCTCTCCGGCACCAACGTTTGATCGTGTTGCTTGCCGCAGCCATGCTTTGAAGCGCAAGCGGGGTGATTGAGGCATACGTCTGAATGTGTATGACTTCTGAAAAGCATGCAAGCCCAAGACGTCACCTGCCGTTGCTGGCCGATTTGGTCACAATTGCAGAGGCACTATACAGCTGAAGCAGTAAATGCTTGTCCCCCTTAGTGTATTTTCCTCTTGTCCTCTTTCATCACTCCCAGTCGGAAATACAACAATTTCTACTTGTAACTGTTCTGTTTGCTGCCTGCTCCGTCCGGTGGTGACTGGCATCACTGAAATGCCTACCTGGGGCAAACCTTGGAGAGCTAAGGGCTACACATGCTGTCTGCGTTGTCCCTGTCAGCCCATGCCGTCTTGGCTTGTCGCACAAGCAGTGTCGGACTTGGTAACTTACTTTGTGCATGAAAGCAATATTCTTGACTCCGAGTATCCCCCTTAAAAATCCCTATTCTACTCCCCTATATAATCCCCTACGTAAGCCCTTTTAAGGAGTTTAGACTACAGTTTATGTGGTGTTTGAGATCTGCATGCTGCTCAACATGCGAGAACTCGGGTTTCACAACATCCCCTCCACCAAAGCTTGCTTACAAAGTGCTTGCGCAATATGTTGCAATTGTTTTCTCCGGCTCAGGCTGCTTTGGCTGGCCGCCACTCCTGACAATGTTTAGGGTTCAGGGTTTAGGGTTTAGGGGCGAAGTAGTCATGATCCAATCTTGTGACTGATCAACGATCAACCCCCGTCATGTCAGGACCATTTCTGAGTCTAGGACCATACTATCGGCAATCATTCGTAGCAAGCTCCTATGTGAGCCCGGTTGCCCTTCCATGTTTCATGCGCTTTGCCTTGTTTCAGTCTCTGTTATTACCCTAAACCCTAAGTCGTATCTAATCATACTAATCGCATCCCCCAAAGTACAACCCCCCCACCTCCCCATATAGTACAGTTATAAACTTGCGTAGACTAGGGAAATATTTATTATGAGGGGGCAGCGGGTTTAGGGTTTAGGTCTGAGGATTTAGGGCTGAGGGCTGAGGGTCCTAAACCCTAAACCCTCACCGGTGGGGCGTTTAGGGCTGGGTAGTGGAGGGGATGACTGCCCATGAAGCTCTCTCACGGGGCCTTGCCTCGAAATATATAACCCCTACTTAGAGGGTCAGTAAGCAGGTTGATAATGGGGATAATTAGAGTTACTATATGGCTTATAGGGGCTATTAACCTACTTACAAAGTCCGCCTGACCCTCCAAGTATGACCTTATGCAATCCTGACCCAACCCCTATAGAAGGCCTATGCAACCCTATACAATTCTCATCTTATCCCAGATTATCCTTAGATCACCCTGAACAGTGATCATCCCTATATAACCCTACACAATGTCATCCCTATGTAACCCTATAAACCCTAAACCCTAAACCTGTTTCTATCATCCCTATAGGCCATGCCTCGAATCCATGGGCTCGCCATGATCCGATGCCCGAGCTAGCCCTTCGCTCGGCTGCTCCCACAGAGGCCTTCACGTGGGTAGTGCTTGGAGGGTCGGGGGGACGCAGTGAGTTTAGGGTTTAGGGTTCAGGATTTAGGGTTTAGGCTCAGAGGGACTTGGTAAGTAGGTTAATGAACTCTATAACCTATATAGTAACCCTAGTAATCCCCATTAGTAACCTACTTCTCTAGTCCGGCCGACCCTGCAAATGCACTCACCCAGAACAATCTATAATGGTGGGAGAGAATTTATACAGGGCTTGTATCTTCTTATCAACCTCATTCAAATTAAGCTAAGGCAAACATTCAGGGCTTCATCTATTCTGATACTATGAAGGGCTTTGCAACACATGCCTCACATGGTTATCATGCAAGAGTACAGGCTAAAATAGGGAAAAATCAAGAGCCCAGTAGGTGAAAATTATGGCTAGTATCCAGTAATAACAATCTACAAGAAGAGTATTCCTGCGTGGTTCATATTTTCTTGCTATGCTTATTCAGTCTACAGTCTACAACCGGGGTAGTATTAAGCGCTTCATATATGTTGATAGTCATTCTCCAGCTAAAACAAGCCTGTAATGGGGGCTAGGGTGGTAATCTTACAGGGTCTACATAATACTCGCTGGTTATATGTATGACACACCCCCACGCAATAACTGTCTTTGATATGGGTAACCGTAAGGGCTCTACATACTCTGTTTTTACACGTTCTCCAACTGAACCCACGAGCCCTAAACCCTAGACCATAAATCCTAAGCCCTAAGCCTTCAACCCTAAATCCTACAGCTTTGGTACTGCCCCCACTCTGCAACAGTCTATATTAGCGGTCATATTCAAGGCTACATAGGCCAATGTTATAAACATTCTCCAACTGTCACAGAGTGGGGTCAGTACCCAACCTAAACCTTAGTTCCTAAAGTCTCAGCCCTAGACCCTAAAACCTAAGCCCTAAACCCTAAAGCTTAAGCCCTAAACCTAATCAAACCCTCAACCCTAAACCGCCCTAAATCCAAGCCTTCACCACGGCCTCGATAATGTCGGAGACCGCAGCCAGGGCGCCTCGGCCCACATCGCCACAGGCCAACTTCCTTGCTGCTTCTCAGCGGCATGAACTGTCATAGAATTTGGTGTGTGTGTGTGTATATGTGTATATATATATATATACAAATTGGCATTTTTTAAGGGAATAATCATAATCATGGAATCTTAGGGGAAGGAACTGTGTTGTGCCAGGGTATGTTGGGAGTATATAGGGGAAGAATCATAATAATGGAACCGTAGAAGAATAAACTGTGTTATAATCATGTATTTTGTGCTGAGAGTATATACGGTTATTAATTACAGGAATATGAAAAAAACCAAAAAATGCAAATTACTGTCGGGTTCAGGATGCAAGGAATGAAGAAGAATATGGAAAGCACTATAGGCTTCAGGGTCCGAGCACTGGCAAAAAAAAATCAGGTGCTAATTCATGATTGAACTGGGGATAATTTAGCCCTAAACTGAAAACCCTAAACACTAAACCCCTAAACCTAAACTATAAGAATCTATACCTTGGGTCATTCCCCCTTACAGTAACTGTTACCACAATGGGTTATAGGAGGTATAAGAACCCCCCTAATAAGGCCCCTTTATTAAGGACAGTTACTGGGAGGGGGAATGACCCAATCTATCCCTAAACCCTAAACCCTAAACCCCTAAACCCTAAACCCTATACCTAACAACCTGCAGGCGTCTTGCTAACTGGCGGGATGATGCTGCAACCCCTCGCCTGCAGCGTTGTCAGGTGTTCTGCAGTGCTGGGATGCTCCCACATGAGGGTGTTCATGGCCTAGGCTGCTGCTAAGGAACTTCAAACTAAGGTACCATAATATGGATAGATAGGGTTTAGGGCTTAAGTTACCCCAAAAATGGGTGCATGGTACCTTTTCGGGTTTCCTCATTTTGATCACTCTCAACCCTATTATACTACCATAATTAGGAAGCCCTATGAGTCGCTCTATACCCCTTATATGAGCTACTGTCTTAAACTCCCAGTATCCCTCTGAATAACCCCTATAATGCTCCCTATATTACTATATAATCTCCTATGTAACCCCCCTTTAAGGACTTTAGCTTATAGCTCATATTAGTAAGGTAGCTTAAGTTCCTAACAGCAACCCAGTGGCAGGAGCAACCAGAAGAGGCTTGTCAGGATCCCACGCTCGTAGGAAGGAGGTGGCCAAGTTGTCCTGGGTTGCTGTTGAGGGACTTAGTTTAACTTATTATGGGGTATAATATAGGGCTGTTAAGGGACTCAATCTAACTTATGATGGGGTATAATATAGGGTGATGTTAAGGGATTTAATTTTAACTTATTGTGGGGTATAATATAGGGTTTAGGGTATAGGGCTTAGAGTTGTTTTAGGGTTTGGAACTTATCTTAAGTTACTATGTTGGGAAAACACTATTATTTTCTATATACCCAGTATAGTAGCTTAATTCAAGTTCCTTAATAGCCATCCAGCGTCACAAAGCCCTAGGGCCAACTTTGCCAGCGTGTTTGCGGAGCAAGGCGCGACCACTGCAATGTCGGCCCACCTCCGCAACTCAATATGGACCACCTGGGTTGTTTTTGGGTTTAGGTTTTTTCAGGGTTTAGGCTTAGTGTTTAGGGTTGAGGGTTCTAAGCACTTTGAAAATTATTTACTCTTATGGTTCTCTTCAAAATACTAGGGGAAGATCCCAAAGGACAACCCAGCCACTGAATCTGAAGACACATCCTCATAGCGGTCCCATTCGTCCTCATCTCGCAGCACATGGACCCCTTTGACTTGTAGAGCTTGAAAGGCCTCGTAGCACTCTGGCGAATATCTACCTGCCACTCGCTTGCTGGTCATGACCTCTGCCGGTGCAGTGAGGATCACTGCGACGTCTGCAAACTCGCTGAGTTTCTTCACAAGCTCAGGGACTTTCACAGATGCTACGCTGCCCGTGGCCACCTGGAAGTTGCGAAAGTTTGGGCATCCTTTAAAACAATAAGGAATGTGATTACTATGGGGGAGTATACTCACTCTGAAGCATTTCTGGAAGCTTTCAGGCTAAACTGTAATCCCCCTGCCTATACTATGTTTCAAATAATTCCTAACGGCTATACTATATTAAAAGCAAAGTAACTCCTAAGGAGACTAAACCCTAAACCCTAAATCCTAAGAAGACTACACCCTAAACCCTAAACCCCAAAGCCAAAATCCTGAGGAGACTAAACCCGAAACCCTAAACCCCAAACCCTAAATCCTAAGGAGACTAAACCCGAAACCCCAAACTCCAAACCCTAAATCCTAAGGAGACTAAACCCGAAACCCAACCCAAAACCCTAATATTTCCTCAGGACCCTAAACCCTAAAGCCCCCCCTCCACCACTGCAACTCTCGGCTTAAGCGGGTTGGGCTGCTCCTGGAGCCATGCTGCTCTGCATGTAGGCACGGCCTGGCCAGCCAAATACCCCAGACCACATGGAAGCCCGTTAGGGTTTAGGGTGTAGGGTTTGGGGGTGTTAGGGTTTTAGGGTTTAGGGTTTGAAAGTTGTAGGATGTAAGGTTTGGGGGTGTTAGGGTTTAGGGTTTGAAAGTTGTAGGATGTAGGGTTTAGGGGTTTATGGTCTAGGGTCCGGGCCCTTTTGGGGGGTCCATGTTGATTTCGGGGCATGTACGATTAAAAGGAGAACTGAATAATTTCAAGAAAGTAGATCGCTGTAATAACAATGGAGAACCTCCTACAGAGACCAAGATTGTCCCGTTCAAAGGACCCAAATCCCGAAGAACCCAAAGATTCTGGCAAGCCCTCTTACAATCCCAGCCGCGCTGTCCCCAAACAATCCTAAATGAGGCCGCTTTTTTCTCAAATGCGGACCAATCATCTTTGACCTCGATCCGGGAATTTCTGAAAGTAAGATGCGCTTAAGGAGCCGAAGGATGTATAGGGATCATAGGGGCGCTGATTTAAGGCTTATACAGAAACTTTCAAGAACTACTTAACCCCAAACCCTACACCTTAGCCGCGACAAATTTAGAGTGGCTGCGCACCTGCTTGTGCTTGCGTAGGCGGCGCAAGGCCAGCGACGTGGCAATTACAAGCCCCGCCCCGGCCGCCACCTCAAGTTATGAACTCTCAATACTGTTTAGGGTTTAGGGTTTAGGGTTTCTGCTGCTTTTTGGAGTGGTTTAGGTTCAGTACTGCCCCCCCCCCCAGTAACAGTTGGATAAAATTACAATATGGTTATATATAGCCCTTAATAGGACCCCTAATATAGACTGTACTGGGGGGGGGGCAGCACCCAAGGTTTAGGGTTTAGGGTGTAAGATTTTGGGGGTGCTGGTATGCTTAGCATTGGATGCCATGCTCCAAAACTGCAAGGAATTTCGCATTAACCATGCTTTGGTTGCAAGGTTGGCGTCATGTTGCCTTGGCAACCCCACCCACCCTAATAATAAATACTCCCCCATATGTTATAATCTGCCACAATGGGGAATACTGAATATTATGGGGAGGGGGACTGGGTGAAACCCTAAACCCTAAACACCATACAATCCCCTACATACCCCCCTTAGCTGCAGGCCAAAGATAAGTCTCGCAGACTTGAAGGGATCATGGCTGGCATGAGCTGTATTAAAGTCGGCTCAGGGCTTAGGGTTATATGGGCTATTTGGAGGTCTTCTCGTAATCACGGAAAGCTAGTGAAGCTACTATTTAGAGTTTAGGGTGTAGGGTTATATTGCGTCAGTGATATCCCCCCAAATAATGGAGAATCAATTGGAAAGAACATGGGCAGTGAGTTGAACACCTGGGGGGGCCTTTTATGATGGCTTATACATACCCTGGGCTTTGGAAAGCCTTGCATTCAGTTCTCATGCTTTTGGCTGCTGGCTGCATCATCAAAGTAGGAATACACAGTTCAATAGCCGGTTCATACTAAAGAGGACCGTGTGTTGCTAGTGTTGCTATCTGCAGTGTCTTGTGGCTTACATCATTCTTTGACGGCTGGAGCAGGGCATGATGCCCTCTGAAGCTGCAGATATCTAGTGTGTCAGAAGGCGCAGTGGCATGACTGCTTGCAAAACATGGTCACTTCTTGACCTTCACTGTGGCTGTTATGGTGTTTATAAGCCTGAATCCCTACAGCCTGACTTTTGGCGCACAAGGCAGAGAGGGAGCATGGTCAGGCTCATCTGCATGTCGAACCCACCCTCATGGAACTTCAGGTACACTCCGCCGATGCTTGGAGCTTCATGCAAAAAATCATGAATTTCAACCTGTAGCATTAGATGACAAGACAAGGATGGGATGAATTGACACAAGAAGACCCTGCATACGGTACGCTGGCAAGAGTCTGAGAAAGAATCCTCACAACAAGGCAGTCAGTATGGCCTTGGGAGTACAGGTGCTCGACAATTACAGGAATCTTCTTCACCGTGCACCGAAAAAAATGCAATCCTTAGCTGCCCTAAATTGAAACCGTAAAACCCATGGATTTAAAAGCCCTAGAACCTAAACCATCCTGAACCCTCATCCTGAAGCTCCGCTCAATCTACCGCAGCCTCTGCGACCCTACTAGTCTACGGCCTCCTTTGGGCCGGACGCAGGATATCTATACTAAGAAATAATAGAAGAGGGGCATCTGACTGGGGCTTTGGGGTTTAGGGTTTCGTTTGCAGTTTTCAGTGTCAATCCTTACAGTGCGGCCCCCCAAAACAGATGACGATGCTCAACATAAATCTGGAGGTTGGTGTTGGGGTCCCGCTTCTGTGAATCCTACTGCTGGGGAGCTCCCGTAGACAATTTCCACGGGAGAGAGCTACTCGACTGGGCTTGTCTCAGGCGAAAGGTCCGCAGGCACGAAGAGGCCATCCTGAGCAGCTTCCCCAGCAATGTGTCTGCGCTTTCTGAAAGAACTGGAGCAACTCAGACCATTTGAGCTAGAGTCTAAACTCCTAGCATCCCCCTTATAACCGCTATAGTAGTTCCCTATATAGTCCCCTATATAATCCCCCTTTACGGAGTTTAGACTATAGCTCATTTGCTGGAGTTTTGAGACTTCAGGATCGTTGAATAAAAACAAGCCCAAGATTGTTTGGATGTGCTGAGAAAGGGCTGAAAGGGACGAACGGGTCGATAGGGACGGCGTGGGCAGGGAGTTTTTTGTTCTCCCTAGACACGATCCCCCCCCGGTCCGCGCCGGGCCCGTCTAGGCCTAACAAGAACCCTCCTCTTATTGTCTGGCGCCAAACAGGAAGCCCCACCTTCTTGTTCGGCCACCCCTTCTCCCCCTCTTTCATAGTCACAGCTAACAGTAGTAATGCTTGCACGGTCAAAAAATGGTAGCCCCAACCCTGAAGAACTGACATCTCACATACCTTTGGGGTTCAGGTCGTGCCCTCAACGCGTGTAACACACCTAAGGGGGCTAATGGGGCCGACTACTTAAAAGTGGGGCGCGACCGGACTAATGGGGCGACTATCCCCCTCCCCCCCGCCCGGCCCGCAGCCCCCAAAACAAACCGCCCCCGCACCCCCCCACCCACCCACGTCTCTTGACCTCCCCCCATACAATAGCACTACACTATCAATATTTCACTGGCACAACCAATATTTGTACCAATACTGATACTCCTACCAGGGGTTTAGGGTTTAGGGGTTTTAAGGGTTAAGCGTTTTGGGTTGTACCCGGCATTACTCTCCCAACAATGAATATCCTAGTCTAGAATGAATCCAGATCTGGAATTTGTTGCAGCTTGAGGGGTTGGTGGGGCGACCATTACTCGAAGGAGGTGATCACAATAAAAGCAACCTTACATTTCAGGAGGGAATATTCTCGAATAGATTCAGACAAATCGTTCTTGAGGTTCCCACGTGGCCTCTCGTCCAGAACTTCCCCGAAAGCATTAATTACTTGCTAGTTGTACCTTGCGACTTGATTTCGGAAGTATAACTCTTGTGTATCTGATCCTGAAGTCTTGGTGGGAAGTGCAAGGTATACGCGGCACCTCCACACTTACTTCGTCCGAACTGTCTCGATTCTGTTACGGATGGATGTGCATGTGGCGGCTTAGTGAGCTTGATGATGTGCTGCAAGATGAGGGGTTTAGGGTTTAGGGTTTTTTTCAAGGTGCCCCTATAAATCTTCAGGGGGAACCCAGTGATCCTGTTAGATTTCCTATTTCTCCAGGGCACCCATTCTTGACAAGACCCTGTATGTTGCGATTCCTTTGATGTATGATCTTGCGTTACTGACAAGACGCTCAGTGCGGGGTTATCCCCTCCTCTAGTAATCATTAAATAATGGAGAACCAAATGAGAAGCGCATGCAAAATGACCAGGGTTATGCGGGGGATGGGCCCATCAACACGTCACCTCCTAATCATAGAACAGTTCACCCCATGATGGGTCGTACTACGTACCGCATCTACTTGACGAGGGGATATTATGGGGTATTAGTGGGGTGTGGGATTGTTGATTAAACGCCAGGGAATGTCTTGGAGGTCCAGTATAGGTGATTCTCTTTTACAATAATGAAAACGAGAACCCCCTTTAATGCCTGGTATGTTTTCCCCTAGAACCTGCACCTACTGCGGATACTAGTTCCAAGTCCTGCATGACCCGAAGTTCCATTCAATTTGGGAATTGGGGTCTTGTGGTATACTGAAGGCATGCAGGCTGGTTTTAGCACTATCAACAATATGTTCTCTAGGATGCTAAACAGATCCAAGATAGCGCCCCCTCTTGTTCAGCCCCGAACAAGAATCCCCCACCTGTCTTGTTCGGCCCGAAGAAGAATCCCAAATACTAGAGCTATAATATAATATAACCCCTATATAACCCCAGTTTCCAGTTCATTTTCCATTTTCTTTTCCATTTGATTCTCCATTATTGGGGTAATATTGGGTACCCCCCTTCTTCCTCAGCCCCGAACAAGAACCCCCCCCCTTCTTGCTCGGCTATCTTCGAAACGGAAAGCGGCACAAGTTACTGACTTGTGGGCTTGCTTGCTCTTCCACAATGCCTCTTCACGCTGTCTGCACACGTTGCCAGGCCCATCGTCTGGTACGCGTTCGCTGCGGCAAGAGCGGCTGCTACTGAGCTGCAAGCCGACTGAACATACACGTACCAAGTCGCTCTGGTGACATTGAACTTCACCTTCTGTGTGCATACTTTGCCTCGCGTTTCCTCGTACAAACTCGGGGCACGGTGGGGTGGAGGGTTCAACATGGCGCGCGACGAGTTATCGCGCTCTAAGAACTTTTAAACCCCTAAAACCCCTAAACCCCTAAAACCCCTAAACCCCTAAAACCCCTAAACCCCCAAAACCTCTAAACCCCCAAAACCCCTAAACCCCTAAAACCCCTAAAACCCCCAAACCCCTAAAACCCCTAAAACCCCTAAACCCCCTGAGAGTAGTACACTAGCAGAAGTCTGCTTGCATCCATGGCTCGTGGGCAAGTTGCACATCCAGGCCTTCGGAAAACCAAAGCTTGCCTTGCAGCGCAAAGGTCCAGGTTTAGGGTCTACCTGAACCCTTAAAGTATGTAGAGTATGGGCCTTTCGGGCTGCTATTATGGGCTTGTGGCTATTATTCTACCTACTTTTGGGGGTGTAGGTAAACAGTCTTCAAAAAAGGGTAGTGTATGGCCACTGTAGTGCGCGTAGTGTACAAGAAGCTCGAAAATGAGACTGCAAAATGGTTTATGTAGAGGTTGATAATAAGCACTGTATGTAAAACGCTTTGGAGTATATACAGTACTGCATGTATCTCAAGGTTTTCAGGCACGAATAGTGGTGATTCTGGCTTCTACATTACCCACATGCTTAGCCCACAGTGTCCTAGGAAGGAAAAGGATCCTTTTTTATGTACTCATAAGGAATCCCATACCCCCAAAAAAATACACAGGATCCCTAACATTGATCCAGCATATTCGCCCAAGCACAACCTGTTCATGAGTGTAGTAAATGCCCTCAAGCTCAAGCTATGGCACAAAAACAAAGCATACGGCTTTATGACTCTGATGACTTATGACGATTGTAACTGTTGTACACTATTACTACTATCACTTTTGTTCTATTAACTAGTACTACTATCACTATTATTCTTACGGTTCTTGGTAACAAGAGTTCTCACGCGCTTAGAAGCTCAAAAGCCTATAAATCTGCCTAGACTTTTTTGTTCTCTAGGGATCTCCTAAAACCAGGGGTACTTTTTTGGGGGGTCCCTGTAATGAGGATTGTATTATTCTGGGGTCCCCCCCTAGCTACATGAAACTACCCTATAACATGGTGCACCCACATCACACTAACGGCGAAGAGAAAGATGGCCCAGCTGCGTAGCTGACGGTTCATGGCATAGTGTTCACCTCAGGTTCGAAGCCGCATGCTTCAATGACTCACAACCTGGACCCTCCCTGTACCTTTAAATAGGGACATATAGTCCCCAATTGTGGGTACTTAGGCCTAAATAGAAGGTACTTGGAGCATCTAGCACATGTTTTTGGTGAGGGGTTTGCGGATGAGGTCTACAGTCTGAGGGTCTGATTGGCGTAAGGCTTTAGGGAGTTTAGGGATTACTTGCAGGGTTGGGGGCACTTAGTAAGTACGGTAGTAACCCCTACAACCCATATACTAATCCTACTTATCTCCATTATTAACCTACTTATTAAGCCCCCCTGACCCTCCAAGTAGGGTTCTTGGTGTATGCCGGACAGGGAATGCAAGCTGGAAACTATGCCACTGGCCACGGGTCTGTTCAGAAACAGGGAGGACTTAGAGGTCTGAACACTGGGTTGCTCTTAAGGAAAGTAAATTCGGTTACCATAAAGGCTACATAGGGTATATAGGGTAGTTTGTGGTTTAGGGTTACCATAATGGGTACATACAGTAGTACGTATGGTTTCCCCAATGTAATAACTTGAATTAAGTTCCTTAACAGCAACCTTGCGGATGCATACGCAAGACAAGTGGATAAGTACGGTGGATACTGGTTTAATCCTAGACCCTAAGCTCTAGAAAGGGTTTGGGGTAAACCCTGCAGACCGTCAAGTACCTATGCCTTGGGCATTGTGGTATCATAGCATGCTGTGGTCATGCTGGGTTCTTAATAATTTCAACAGTGGGCGTTTAGGGTTTAGGGGCCTCTCTAAGGACTAGACAAGGGTCATGCTGACCAAAGATCCTGGTAAACTTCAGTAACTAGCTTTGAGGTGGCAGTTCTATCTCACAACTTTCCTGCAATACGTGGTCATGATCTCACATATCTGCCGGAACTCATGCACTATGGATACCACGGGCTGAGGCACATATCATGACCGCAAGCTCAAACATACTCTGGTGTCCAGCAGGAAGAAGAACTGTTTGCAACTGCTTTGTTTTGGATAGTACTGCACCGACCTAGATAATGTTATCTTGTGATTGGCTTTCCCTTCCCCTATATACCACCGTATATGCCATGTAGGGCGCTGGGGGAGGACGCAGCAAAATCATGATCCATTTGGGCAAGCAGCATCCAGATTTTGGCACATACCCCTAAACCCTAAACCCAACACCAGCATTCTCGGATGCGCGAAATTCCCAAGCCACGATGATGGAGCACATCTGCTTACTGGCCCTTGCCCAGAGACCCCCTAAAAGATCCAAAAAATGGACCCCCCAAAATGACACCCATTACTACATTGGGGAAACTAAGGGATTATTGGGAGGTTCCAGCTTTTGGATCCTTAAAGGGATCTGGGTGAGGAGGAGTGGGGAAAGGTGGATCCCTAAATCCCTACATGAGCTATAGTCTAAACTCCTAGTATTCCCCTTAGTAACCCCTTTAGTAGTCCCCTATATAATCCCCCATATAAGCCCCCTGTAATTAAGCAGTGTAGACTATAGCTCATATAACGTCAATGATACTATCACTATCCCACATCTCTGCCACTGCCCCCTTAAGCAACAGTAAGTCTAAGGATGGCAAGCGGCAGTAGTGGCCAAGACCCACGAAAAAGGCCTGGCCCACCCAGAGAGCCCCATACCCCTTAATTAAAGAGTTTCCCCTAAATGGTACTAGGGTCCCTAATATGATTTAAGCTATATTCCTTATTTAAGGGGTATTGAGCTCCCTGGGCATGCAGCGTGTCACACACTCGCACAGTGACGCATGGATGGGCGCTAAGCGTGCAACTAGACATGAGGTTGCATCATAGCAGGTGCCATGCTTTTCAGTATCAATCCAGCCCATGTTCTGCACCATGGAATTTTCAGCTCTTGATGGTAATGAGATCATGGGTGACATCTACATCCGTATTTGTCCAACTTAGCTCGTTTTGCGCAAGCTCTAACTAGAAGAGAACTGACGGCCCGGTGACACACAAGCCAAGCTGCCTGTATAGACTCTGGCAACACCGAAACCCTGTTGAAGCCTTTAAGGTCCTCTGCAACTCCTACGCCTTTATCCTACAAATCCTAGAGTGGTCCGTCCTTGTTGGGCCGGTACTTCCTCACCAATGCCAGGCTCTCCTGGAGCAGCTGTACGCATTGCAGAGGGCCTGGGAGGAGCCTAATGCAATTGACCAAGAGTTTTTGGGTTGCGGTGGCGGTGGGGGTTGGGGTTGGGGTGGGGGCGGCGGCACTGGCGGCGCTGGCGCCCTTCCAGTCCTGGCTATATGAACATAAGACCCTCTCAAAACCTTGGATGACCATCCCCCCGACCCTTGCAACAAGTTCTTTATTGTGACGTTCACGACTTGCAGCGTTCCTCGAGATTGGCATGCACGGTGCTTGTCGTGGCATCGGGGAACAAGACGTCCAGGATTAAGATGGAGATCTTATCCTTGGCACATCTCAGCGTACGGCATCAGGCTGCAGGCTATGGCATTTTGCGGCAATCACCTCTCCATGCTCTACTGCGCTGCTCATGCGATCTCCCGCTAATTACGACGGGTCGCAGTGCACATGCTGAAACCTGCAGAAATCAAAGTTGATCATCGGAAGCGGACTAACCAAGACCATACTAATTCCTGAAGCCTCATGCTGTGTTGTATCTATGGTTTCAGGTGTCCTCTTATGCGGCAGAGCCTGGGGCTTGGAAAGCCTGGCCGACCAACATTCAGGAGACAAGGTAAGTTCCATAAATAGGAAGCCCCAGTATACGATCCCAATACACTCTCTTCCATATTATAAGGACTCCCAAAACATGCCCCGGATTTCTGAAAGCCTTAAAAACCTATAGACCACCATATAGTTTCAGTGTCCATTTCATCCTTTGTCTTTTCCATTTGCTTCTCCTTCACTACCCCGACATATGCCTATAGGCTGTATACAGGTCACACCTTCAACCCTACATATCCCGATATAAGATAACCCGTCATATCCACTTTGAAACCCCATAACCCCTTCAAAGGGGCCCTTACTTGATGAAAACCCTAAACCCCTACACCCGAAACCCTAAGCCCTAAACCCACCCCTCAACCCTAAACCCTAAAACCCTAAAACCCTAAAATCCAAAAATCCAAACCCCCTAAACCCTCTACCCTAAAACCCTAAACTCCTAAAACCTCAAACCCTATACCCCTAAAACCCTAAACTCCTAGAACCCTAGAACCCTCTACCCCTAAACCCTAAACCCACGCACCGAGCCGACTCAGGGGCTGGCAGGTGCAGTGCTCCAGCGTTGGAGCAAGGCTTCTGTCTTTGGCAACCTGGGTTGCTGTTAAGGGACTTAAATTAAGTTACCATAAGGGGGATATAGGGTTTAGGGTTTTAGGGTTTTAGGGTTTAGGGTTTAGGGTTACCATAATGGGTATATATTGTAAATAACAGGGTTTCCCCAATATAGTAACTTAATTTAAGTTCCTGAACAGCAACCCAGCAACAGGGCAGTGTAGTCTGAGATGTAGACCACTCCTCAGGGATCCTACTTGGAGGGTCAGGGGGACTTAAGAATAATGGAGGGCAGTGTAGTCTGAGATGTAGATCACTCCTTCGGCTTTGGTTTTAGGTTCTAGGCCAGGTAGGCATGCTACGAATATTGCGAAACTCTAATGTCTTCAGCAGTAACTATACTGCAAGGGGCTGTCGTATTTTACTTGGTTTTGCCCTTCCTAGGTTTTAGGGCTTCAGAGTCTGAGACTTAAGGTTTTTGTTGGGATCCGAAGCCGATCACCTGTACTGGAGCCAGGGGAGTGATCCAGGGAGGTGGCGGTCCTTGCAAAAAAAAAACTGATGAAGATCCGGCCCTGACCTCCAACCTCACCCCCGCCGCAGATGCCCGCCCTTTAAAGATGTGCAAAATCCCCAACACTACAAGAACCAGCCCCCAACCTGCTCATAGCGACTGCCAAGTATGACCGCAATCACATGAAGGTCCCATCATATGAGCCATTCTCTGAACTCCTAAAACGGGGTAGGGGGGTTGTATAGGAGATTCATAGGGGAGATAAAGGGAATACTAGGAGTTTAGACTATAGCATATATGTATACTCTCCACCATTCGTGGGTAGGGGGGTGGGGGGGAGGGAGGGGGGGTGGGGGGCATCGCCTAACCCCAACACATAGCGCGTTAGTCCCCATACCCTTAAACCCTAACAACCTAACCCCACACCCTTGAGCCTTATGCCCTTAACCCTAAAATCTAAACCCTCAAACCCTAACACCCTAAACCCCTAACACCCTAAACCCCTAAACCCTTAAAACCCTAAAGCCCTAGACCCTAAAACCCTAAACCCCTAAACCCCTATCTTTCAACCCTAACACCCGAACCATTAAAGCAGGCATGATGCTGGAGCCCTGGGGGCCAAAACCGAAACCGAAACCTGGGTTGCTGTTAAGGAACTTAAATTAAGTTACTATATTGGGGGAACCCTATTATTTACCGTATATACCCATTATGGTAACTTAATTTAAGTTCCTTAACAGCACCCCAGAAACAGGTGTAGTCTGCCCCATGTAGCACAGGCAGAGCATGGAAGGCAAAACCATCCACGTAGAAAGGCATCGCATTTTCTGGAAATTCCTGCTGGGAAGATGGTTTAAAGGTTTTTTTTGTGACTTTTTCTCCTTTGTCCGGTTTGGGGTTTAGGGTTTAGGGATTTAGGGCTTCAGGCTTTGAAATGAGGGGCCCCTCTTGCATCCAAGGTCCTAACCGTGCTCCTCTAGTGTGGGCTTATAGGATTTTGTAGGGTACCTCATAGGTATATACTTGGAGGGTCAGGGGGACTTAGTAAGTAGGTACATAATGGTGATACGTAGGGTTATATTATGGGTTATAGGAGTTCTTGACCTACTTACTAAGTCCCCCTGACCATTCAGTAGGACCCCCGGATTAGGGGCCCATACTTGCCCTCCAGAATTCCAACCGTGGATTCTGTGCCCAAACATGACAGACTTCGGCTTAGGGCTTAGGATTTTGGATCCCAAGTGAATTTGCACCTTCAACTCATGCACACCATCACAATATGTCTTCAAAACTCGTAATCGAACAGAACTGCTGTTAGAGACTTCAAGCCCTAAACCCCAACCCCTAAACCCATGCCCTGGATGACGACAAAGCATGAGTCTAGGTTGCTGTAAGTAATCTATATTAAGCTACCATAATCAGGAAGCCCTAACCATCGGCAGAGGTGTGGTACTCGTGTGCTCGTGCCAGGGTTACCAATGGGGCCCGAGCAGGATATTTGCACGTAGGGATATGCTAGCGTCACACAACGTTTTCATGACCATCTGGAATCTAGCACGCAAGCAGGTACCAGGCACAATTCCACTACAGCATCTCGTGCGCAGCTTAGGATGTTCCGCTGGTTCTCCTAGTTGTGCAGAAAGTGTTCTTCTTACTAGGAGGTATGTCTTGGAGCTTAGGACCCAGGCGTAGGCCCTGCAAACAGTGCCACCATGCTGGTTGTGGTAGCTTTTCTTTAAGTTGCATGACTGCGAGCGATGTGGCTGCAAAGAGGAGCTCATCGCATTTAGTTGTTAATCTGGGTTGCTGTTAAGG